CAGAATTGGGACTAAATCTTGATTCTGATTAAAATGAATTTCCCAAAAAAAACCTAATGACAAAAATGAACCATGAATCTTAACCTGCACTGGCGCATTTCAAAAATGTCATGCTTTTTGAGTCACTTTGTGTCTTTTTACTAAGTTAAAGCATTTGATAATTTCTACTAGACAGAACAAAAATAATCTTATCAAAGAATTTGAGAGGCTCAGTTTCTTTTCTGCATCTTCTGGTGACCAACTGTAACACTCCCAAAAGGCTAAATATGGAACAGAAATATATCCTCTTGCCTATTCAAGAGGAGTTGAGATAGGGACTTCATGATACACGTCTTGTTCTACGCAATATACGATTTCCAAAAAGCTGTATGATAATACAGAGACCAAAATTGTTCTCAGCACTGTCTCTCTTACCACAAGAATACTAAGTGAAGAAATAACGTCACAAGATAGGGGAATAACATGGTGCCTAATACAGATAATATGAACTAAAATCTTTAGATATTAAAAGATAAATCAGAGGGCCAGCCCCGTGGCCGAGTGGTTAAGTTCGCGTGCTCCACTTCGGCGGCCCAGGGTTTCACCGGTTCGAATCCTGGGCGCAGACATGGCACCACTCATCAAGCCACGCTGAGGCGGCATCCCACTTCCACAACTAGAAAGACCCACAACTAAAAATACACAACTATGTACCGGGGGGCTTTAGGGAGAAAAAGGAAAAATAAAATCTTTAAAAAAAAAAAGATAAATCAACTTGTCTTCTATACTTAAGGAAAATATGCTCAGACAAGAAGTAGTTAACTACTGAACTAAAATCCAGATACGAGATCAAACCTCTTCAAATTAATGTTTAACTTATAAGAGCTATATAAAATGCACTGCTAATGAAATCCTTGACCCTGGGTGGAGATGACCACTTGGAGACAAGAAAAGTTCAGATTATGTAATTTGAATTAGTAGTCTTATACACTGGTGAAAGAATGTGTAGAGAGCAGTACCATTGGGTGATCAGAAATCATCGTGCCTGTATGACGTAATAATAACTACATGAGGCTAACAAATAACCTACTAGGAAGACAATGCAATTAAATCCTATTCCTAGAAGGAGAAAGTCAAAAGTCAACCTGAAAAGTTTGGTTAAAAAAACAAACTGTAAAGTTTTTTACCCAAAATCTTTTCAAGTATCAAGTTTAATATGTAGGGACCCATGTGCTAAAAATGGAAACCAGTAATTTCTTTTAATTCTCCTTAAAGGACTTTAATCACTAGTATTTAGGCTTGCAACTCAATCCAGACTAACAGGTAGAAGACATATTTACATAGTCTTAGTATTCCTTTGACCAACCAGTGTTACCCAAGGTTTATTTCTGATCTAATGCTTTTTTTTTTTTGAGGAAGATTAGCCCTGAGCTAACATCTGCTGCCAATCTTCCTCTTTTTGCTGAGGAAGCCTGGCCCTGAGCTAACATCCGTGCCCATCTTCCTCTACTTTATATGTGGGACGCCTACCACAGCATGGTGTGCCAAGTGGTGTCATGTCCCCACCCGGGATCCAAACTGGCGAACCCTGGGCCACTGAAGCGGAACGTGAGAACTTAACTGCTGTGCCACCGGGCTGGCCCCTGATCTAGGGCTATTTAAATACCTCCTTAACTTTTATAACGCTCAATGGCAACTTCTAAAACATCACATTACACAGAAACACTATGATGGTACCTTAATACTGACCTATTGCTAACACACTCTGAACACCTGTGCCAAGGTTAGCACTGTGGCGCGGAGAGCGTCTCAGCTTCACGGCCTGAGACAGACCTTCTCAAGTCTTCACAGTCACCTTCTTTAACCAGCTATGTGTACAAGTCTAGAACAGACAGCACACCAACTAGGGCAGCAAAATGACAGACAATGTTTAAATTTTAATCATTAAAGATAAACTTGACACTCAAGAAAAATAACTGGTCACCTTGGGAGGATGCTAGTAAATCAAGTCATTATTCTGAAAACAGAGTAAAAAATCAAACATTTATTCTGCCTGCTTTCTCTTTAAGGAACTGTCATTAAATAATTGATGAGGGGACATTTCTCTATACATATTCTACTAATAAAGAAAGAAATAATAGAATTGGAATATCACAGTTTTTCTACCTCCTAATGAAATAATTAATGCATCAAGCAAAACTCACGGATGGCCAAGATACCCATGAATGATTCTAGCCTCCCCCCCACCAAATAGAAGGTGAATCAACCAAGCCTCTAGATCAGCAGAGAGGAAGAACTAACTAAAATCAAGGGAATCCAACCAGCAAAACCCAGACTGAGGAAAACTCTAATGTCAAAACCTAGCTTCCTCAGCAAATAAATAGAAGAAATTAAAGAACCTGGTGAGGGGGAACCTATGAGACTTAACAGACACTTTCAACAAAATATGACACGTATACTTTGTTCAAATAGTGAGTCAAACAGTAGGAAAAAAAACCATTTATGAAACCACCAGTTTCATAGTTTGAACACTGACCAGATATTTGATGGTTTAAAGAATTATCATATTACGATTGTTTTTAAGAGGAGTTCTTATTTTATAGATATATTTTTAAATATTTATGGATAAAATCATGTTGTCTGGGATTTGCTTTAAAATAATCCAAGGGTAGAGACAGGGTAGTGGAGGGTTACAGATGAAACATTACAGAACATGAATTGATCGTTACTGAAGCAGGGCGACAGATACAAAAGGGTTCACTATAGTTTCTTCTCTCTTTGTGCCTGCTTGAAATTTTCCATAATAAAAGCTTAAGAAAGAAAAATGAACTAAAAAGTTTTATATGACAATCCACAGAATAAGGACAAAAAAACTCCACGTCCCTCAGAGGTCAAAACAAATGAAAATCTTAAGGGTGAATTGGACAGGTATTCTCCCTGTACACACTCATACAAGCACACATGTACACACACACTATTACTCAACAAATGAGAAGACCGAGACCCAAAGAGGTAAGTCTTGCTCAAGGTCACAAAACAAAACAGCAGCAGAGCTAAAACTGGACCCCACAATTCCAAGCCCAGAAAGAGGTTTAAGCGGGAGCTCAGTTGAAAGATCTGAGCAGTCCTGAAGTGGCTTGAAGGCCCATCAAAGCTGTAAAGAAAATTCTCAAAACCTAGTCAAGTGAAAAAAAACAGGCGGTTTGAAGGGCTATATGTGAGTGAGAGCAAGAAGGCTGGAGAGAGTGGAGAGAACAACTGGGTATTTAGCAATCGCCCTTACTAGGGAGCAGAACTGTTAAATCTATGATGTATATTTGGAACGACTTGCTTTCAAGATGTTTGAAGAAAAGAAAGTTGTTATCTAGCTTACAAGCAGCTTACTCATGAACCAGTGAAACATAAAATCTTTATCCTAAATAACGATTTTTTTGGAAACATTTTTAAATCTTATTAAGTGCACAAGTGATTTAAATATTAAACATAAAAATGGGATTTATCTTCCTATCCAAGAAAAGGTTTCAAAACCTGACCATGAAGGGCCTTCTTATTTACTTAGACATTTTCATAAAAGAGTAAGGATTCACATTTATATAAAAAAGCCATTAAGAATAAAATTCTCTGCATGCCAACAAACTATGCTATCTTTTCAATAAGCACAGTGTCACTTAAATAAAACATGAACTCGACCTAGAAACAACATAACTACTAAATAAGACAAGGTAACCTCATTTACCTTTTATCATTCTGAAAATAGTAAAACCTAGTAAGTCTGATGTATTATAGGTAAATCATTTTCAAACTACTGGGCACTCACAGTAAAATGCATTTTAATTTTTGGCTGTCATGTGTTAGTGACTATTCTCAAAAGTGTCTGGTGAATTGGATTCCTTTTTTATTGGAAGAGTGGTCTATTTTTAAAAAGACATTTCTGGCATTAAATTACACAAGACTAAAGGCTATTTTAAAAATCCATTTTAAACATTTCAAAGTATATGTCCTTCAGTAACTGTAAGAAATACCAAAGCAGGAAGTCAAAGAAAATTCCAGTGAGATCTCTAAAATTTACTATTACAGATAACTGAGATCACTTGTTAAATAACTTGTTCTTTAAGGAGCTGAAAGTAAAAAAAGGAGCCTGAAGGGATAATGCAGAAAGGGAAGCTGAGACTTGAGAACTTCACCACACAGACCTAAAGTAACTTAAGCAGTAGATTACAGATCTGTTTCTCTGACCCTTCCCAGTATCTTCAAAGTAGCAATGTAGCTCCTCACTCGAAAAACATGTTTTTAAGTAGTACCCTTCTCCTCCAGTAACCCAGAATCAAAGCCGGCATGTAAAAACTCAAAAGACAAAAAGAGGAATGAAAATTATTTTTGAATGACAAAACCAAAAAATATTAAGGGAGTCATTACGGATAGGAGCATGGATGTGAACCAGGCAGTACTGAGTTCTGTGCTCGGTTCTGCTCCTCACTAGCACCTTTAACCTCTGCATCAGCCTTCTCAGTATTAAAAGGGAACAACGGCCACCTCGCGGTATTGCTGTGAGGATTAAATGAGACTGCTCACAAGGGGCTAAGGTTATGGCAAGCTCACAGCAACCACTTCAAATCAATAACCTTTTTTATACAATTTAAAAGGTGAATTATGAGAAAAATGCTTAATGCCCTTCTCTTAAAAATATCTCTATCCTACTCCCACTTGTGGGAGAAAAAGAAAAGCACAAACAAAAGAAAAATATTTTATTTTTCCCTTAAGGTCATAGTTTCACTTATATAATCTTGCGATCACTGAAGACAAATAGCAAATAAAAACCACACCCTCCAGTTTTTAACTTCATGCAAATATTGAGTGTATGTATGAACTCCAAAAAGTGGAAAACAGAAAATCCCATGTTTTTAAATTTGCGGTCATTACTTGAATAAATATGCTTTTATCCATCAAATAAATTGATAAGGACAGCCACAAAATTTTACAATAGAGTATTTTAACTTAGAAATAAAAAGGAAAGCATTTACCTTCGTACAATAAAGCATCCAAAGTTCAAAGAGCCTCTCTCTGGATGCCATTCTGGCTTTCAGTCAGGCACTTTAATTTTTCCTCAAAAAAAAAAAGTTATGTTCAAGACCACAGCATGTTCATTTTATTTTCCAAGTTTTTCAGCCGTTACAGTAAAGCTCAAAGCAGCAGGGAAAACAAAAAGAAGTGAAACAAACGGACTTGTCTTCTGGTCAATAAAATTCGGTTTCAGCAGTTTCTCCAACTTATCTTCATCAGCGGTAGCTGGGCAATTAGATAAATCTGCGAAAGACAAAAATACGCAAAGGATGGCTAGAAAAAGAGGCCATATCAAAAATTTCAGATTTATCAGAACTAGTGATTTGTTTACTCCACGTCCCACAACCAACCGGCTACGCTTTTGCACTGATTGACTAGATTTCATAGGAACTGGGGTTTCAGGAAAACCTCAGAGCTGACACTCTCCCATCAACACCAAGTGAGAGTCCTCCGGGGCAGACCCGGAGATGCGTCCTCGAGACCAAGCAGGCGTCCAGGGATGGTAACAGCAAGACGCCGCTCCTGCGCACACGTTTTCCATAAACGTAAAGAAAAAGCACACTTGGTACTGACATATTTCAAAGACGGAGAATCCCTTAGAATTTCCAGTCCGCCTCGTACAGCCAGCGGGAACGTCCGCGGGACGGCCGGCAGGGCGCGGGGAGGGGGGGCGGAATTCCCGATCTGTTTGCGCGAACGCTCCTCAGGGAGGGACGGGCGACCTGCCCACCTGGCACCACCTCTCCATCCAGGAAGAAGAAGGGAGCACGCCCCGGCAGGGAAACACCGGGAAAGCCGCCCAGGGGTTCCGGGGACCTTTAAATCCCCTCCTCGCATCCCAGGCGACTGGAGCCGAGGCAGCCTAAGGGGCGCCCAGCCGCCAAGAGAGGTTCTGGCGACCGGGCGACGGGAGGTTGGCGTCCGCGCCCCGCTGTCCGCGCCGGCCCGGCCGCCCGGACACGCCCGTCCACCTCGCCCCTCACGCCGCCCCGCACTCCCCCGCGCCGTCACGCCCGCGCCCCGGCCCTCCGACTCGGCCGCGCGGCCCCTCTGGCCACGCCCCGCTGCCCTCACCGCGCTCACGTCGGGGGTCGCGCCGCCGCCGGGCCGACGTCCCACTCGCTGCCCTCGCCCCCCGCCCGGGTGAAGCCCCGTGTCACCCCACAGCTAGAGAGCGGGCGGGAGGGGGAGGCGGGGCGCGCGGGCCGGGAGGGGCCGGGGGCGGGGCCGTCCCCTCGGCTAAGCATTCCGGCCTCTGAGGATTTACCCGGCCCCGGGGCACTCGTTGTTCATTGGTCGCGCAGATGGGAGGGGGCGGGGTGACCCGAAGCCCCGCCCCAGCATACCTGCGCAGTCGCAGTCGACAGGGTCCGCAGACCTGGGGTTGGCGCCAGCCTCGGCCCACTAGTCAGTCATTCCCCAGCTGTACGCGTAGGGTGAGCGACGTGCTGACGTCCTCGCCCTGCCACTGCTGGGGACGGCCAGACGTAGCGCTCGGTTGATGGCGTCATTTCCGGGAGTCATCTGAGGGCGGGGAGCCCTACAGGGATAACTGAAGGGGAATTCGTTTTGAGTTCTTGTTGTAAAGAGGAGGTTGGTCCGTGGAGTATATATTGTAAAAACAGGCAACTTCCCCCACAACCCCCAAAATCCTTTCCCCTAATCGTGTTTGGGCCTCGCTCTGTTTCCGTCGCCAGGTGTCAAGTCCGTACCCCACTAAGGGCTTCAAAAGGATTTTGCTCTTTCAGGAAAAGAAATAAAAGGAAAACGACTGCATTTACTAGATATAGACAACTTGCGGGGTGGGCGGGGGGGACTGTTTCAGGGAGAGGGGAAGAGACATAAGAATAATAACGTTTGGTACACTTCAACATTTTTAAAACTTTTATTGTGAAAAACTTGAAGCATATACAAAAGCAAGCTACAGTTACCTGTGACATAAAGCGTTTCGCTCTAGGAGGGACCACATACACAACCGTGGTGTCGTAAGATTAGAACCACATAGCCTAGGTGTGTAGCAGGCTTCACCATCTAGGTTTGTGTAAGTGCACTCTATGATGTTCTGGCAATGAGGAATTCGCAAAACGATGCATTTCCACAATGTATCCCCATGTTAGACGACTCATGACTGTAGCATAAGGAAACCCCATCACCCATCTTCAAAAATTAACTGTGTCATCTTGTTTCATCTATACCAGCAGTCAGGAAACTGAAAAGAGTCGGAGAATAAACAGTTAAGGTTTTGCAGAACATCCTGCTTGCAACTTACTTAAAAATCAAAATAATATTTCAAGAAATGTGAAAATTAGACTAAATTCAAGTTCCAGTGTCATAAAGTTTGTTGGAATAGCCAGGCCCATTCCTTTACTATTAATATTTTCGCTCCAAAGTGACGGAGTTGAGAGTAATTTCGAGTGCTAGTTGCTTGCAAATTATGCCTTTCAACAGCTCTCCTTGGTAGTCTAGCAGGCATGCAAAACCTAACATGTGAAAACTTCGGAGGGAGAGGGTGGAATTACTCTTGCTTTGGGATCCCCCATTTTAGTAATTAGCAACTCCGTTTTTTCAGCTGCTCTGTCCAAGAACATAGGAAGTATCTTCACCATCTTTCTCATATTCCTTACATTCAATCTAATCCTTTCTGCTATATCTTCAAAATACTTCCGAAATCTAACCATTTTTCTACACCACCACTGCTATCACCCTGATGTGTATTACACTAAATCTTTTCTGGATTATTGTAATAGCCTTCCAGTTTGTCTCCTCTGCCTATGCACTCTCCCCACCAATGGATTATTCTCAACATAGCAACCAGAGTGATCTTTTAACATAGAAATAAGATGTAACTCCTCAGCTAAAAACCCTCTGATGGCTTCCCATCCCACTTAAAACGAACAGCAAGGACCTGTGTTTTCCTCCACTTCCCTGTCTTACTTCTCCAACTATTATTCTGGCCTTCCTTTATTTCATTCTAGACACATGGCTATCTTGCTGCTCCTCAAGTTCACAAAGCACACTCTAGTCTCAGGGATTTTACATAAGCTGTCCCTCTCCTTGGAATGCTCTTTCTCCAGATGACCACACACAATCTTCAAGTCTCTGCTCAAGAATCACCTTGTTTATTGGTATACTCTGAATATTTGTGTCCTCCCAAAATTCCTATGTTGACATTCTAACCCCCAAGGTGGTGGTATTAGGAGGTGGGGCTTTTGGGAGATACTTGGATCAAGAGGGAGGAGCCCTTATGAATGGGATTGGTGCTCTTAGAAGATAGATGTCACAGAGCCCCCTAGCCTATTCTGCCATGTGAGGATACAAGGAGAAGTCTGGGACCCAGAAGAGGGCATTTACCCAACCATGCTAGTACCTTAATCCCAGACTTCCAGCCTCCAGGACTGTGAGAAATAAATTTCTGTTTATAAACCACCCAGTCTGTGGTATTTTGTTGTAGCAGCCCAAACAGACTAAGACATCCATGAAGGATTCCTTCATTCTTTAGACAATAGCATCCCATTTTCTCCCTGCCTCTATTCTTCACTGTAGCACTTCTCAGCTGACATGTAATTTCTTTGTCCATTGTGAGTGCCCCCCTAGTAAGATGTCAGTAACATGAAAATAGGGACTTTGTTCACTGCTATACTTTCAGGTCCTTGAATAGTGCCTTAGACACAGTAGGAGCTCAATAAATATTTGCAGACTATTTAGTGAAAGAAATAAATTACCTGTTTCACTATATGTCTCTGTACTATCCCACCTCCAGTTTTCCTCCCACTACAAACTGTTAGTTTACAGCATATTGGACTCATCATAAGAATAGCAATATAAAACATAAATTTAGGGGCCGGCCCCGTGGCCGAGCGGTTAAGTTCCCGTGCTCCGCGACGGCGACCCAGGGTTTCCCTGGTTCGGATCCTGGGCTCGGACATGGCCCCGCTCATCAAGCCATGCTGAGGTGGCATCCCACATGCCACAACTAGAAGGACCCACAACTAAAAATACACAACTATGTACCGAGGGGCTTTGGGAGAAAAAGGAAAAATAAAATCTTAAAAAAAAATCCATAAATTTAATCAATTTGTAAAATTATTTCAAAAACTCATAAATATGTTGTCCATAAACAAAGGTGATAATATTGTTGTGCACATTTCTTCTCCAACTTTCAAGTGCACACACAGGACCTGGGGATTTTGCTAAAATGCTGCTTTTGATTCAGTAGGTCTGGGATTCAGTGGGTCAGCGGGCTATCAAGCTCCCAGGTGACGCCAATGCTGCTGATCCACAGTCCACATTTTGAGTATTAAGGTTCCCAGAGTTAATAGAAGATGCATTCTGCTTTGTTTGGGAGGTAGTACTGATAGAGTTACATGGATTCATCCATCTATTCTCATCTTTACCTTCCCCTTGTGACTAGTGACACAGGTACTGAAGAGATGTAGTCTTTGACACAAAACTAAACCAACTGAATTCTCTCGTACGGCAGTTTTGTAGTTACAGCTAGGAAGAGATAAACATATTATCTGGGATGACACATGATAGTTCCTGCTGGGACATAAAGGACGGCAGTATTTTGTTTTAGTATCTACGTCATGGTGGCAGCTTTGCCACCAGTAAGAAGACTCCAGGGCACTGACTTACCCTAGTAAACTCACAAAGGACTAATGCATGTAATCTGTGTGGCAGGTCCCTCCTTTCTGTCCCATAGGAGGTCTCTAGCTATGCACTGAAGAGGAGAAAGTCAGGGAACTTATCCATATTGTCTCTGAGGAATCTGCCAGTTGATTCTCTTTCCCACCTAATAATTCTAATAATGGGGTAGGCTGGTGCCCATCACACTTCTGTGAACAAGGATTATCCCAGTCTAATATCTCCTTTCCCTTTCCTTCAGACAAAATACACACTGGATTGCAGTGGAGCATAAGCAGTTCTTTTGCTGAAGATTTCAAGTCTCCTAAAGCTATATAGAGAGAGTCAGGGGAGATCAGGAGTATGGATCTGGTTAATTCCTTTCCTTATACCACATACAAGGAAACAATCACAATACCTTACTGCATAGGTTTAAATAAGATGTGTCTCCTGGACAATCCCTGTTCCCTTTGCTCTCCCAATTCTCGTCAGTTTTCCATGTGCCCCTCCCCAAAGTCCTATCTTTAAGCTGTTCCCCTTGAATGTCCCCATTATGCTCACAGAATAAGAAAGTGAGAACTCCAGCACCTTCTTGAGTCCATCAAATTCTGTTGCATTTAGATGGCATCTAGGTGTCAGCTAGATGCCAACAGTTTTCCTCTGCTGAGGCCTCTGATGGCGCCTGGGAGTGGGGATAAGGTTTGGTTTTATGAGTGGGTCCTTCAACAGCACTTAGGCATCTCTCCACCAGTGAAGCTATGGCCACCTTTTCTCCAGACACACCTCAAGGTAAACACATTTGCCACCAGGAGAACACATTTTCTTAATAAGACTGTTACCCAGCAGCCTTCCAACACAACATAGCCTTGTTATATTAAAATCATGTTTCTGGCCTGATTTTCATGACAAAAGGCATACTCATGAACTGAAATGGCCCTGCCTAAATCCACTGGGTGGTCCTGTGTTCAAAGAGTTTCTCATCTGATGGCAAGGTTAGGAGTTTCAGTTCACCTCACCAGATATAACCTTAGAAGGTTACTAAATTAACAACAAAAATTACATCTGCCAAGTCAATTGGACTACTCATGTCTCTCAGTCAGGCCACTATCTCCCCATAGAAAGAACTACATAAAGAGGGAAATTATAATCTCAGAGTTGCTTTTTCATCATGATCCAGAGAAAGTAAAATTAAGCAGATTAACTTGATAAGTAGTGACATCCTGTATAATAAACTGCAGGCAATCATTCCCTCTGTGGGCAATCTGCCAACGGAGGCAGATACTCATTTGTGTGAGACAGAACAGTTTCCCTTGGACAGAGTTGGGGATGTATGGACAACTTTTTGCTCTTTGACTTTCCCTTT